TCCACAGTATCCTACACATGTGTGTCAGTTACATAAATCTATCTATGGTTTGAAGCAGGCCCCTAGGGCTTGGTTTCAGAAATTTACTTCACAATTGGCCACATATGGTTTTGTTTCTTCTCCTTTAGATCCATCTTTGTTTCTTAGAAAGGTCAAGGATTCTCTCACTGTACTCCTCTTGTATGTTGATGATATAATTCTCACAGGCAATGATCCACAATTCATTCACACTCTGAAACACCAACTTAACCTGCAGTTTGAAATAAAAGATTTAGGAGCACTGCATTTCTTTCTTAGTCTACAAATTCAATATACTTATACTGGTTTGTTTCTCAGTTAGAAAAAATACATTACTGATCTTATTCAGAAAACCAATATATCTGACTGCAAACCCTGTAAAACTCCTTGTGTTGCTTCATCTAAATTGAATAAAACTGCTAGTACACCTCTTGCAGATCCATCCTTTTACAGAAGTGTTGTTGGTTCACTTCAATACCTGACGTTTTACAAGACCAGATATCAATTTTTCAGTAAATCAGGTTTATCAACATATGCAAGCTCCCATAAATATTCACTTTGCTGCAGTGAAAAAAATCTTAAGATACCTCAAATGTACTTCTACATTTGGTATATCTTATCAAAAAGGTGGTCTGAATCTTTCTGCCTTCAACGATGCAGACTGGGCGGGGGATCCTGATGACAGGAGATCTACTATTGGGTTTATTCTTGCTTTGGGTAATAATCTCATTCACTGGGACAATAAGAAGCAAACTACTGTATCTAGGTCCTCCACAAAAGTAGAATTCAGGGCTTTAGCACATACCATTACTGAACTTACTTGGCTTCAACAATTGCTTAAGGATCTTCAAGTACTGCTGCCTCAAGCCCCCACTCTCTGGTGTGATAATGTTTCTACTCTAGCCTTAGCATCAAATCCAGTGTTTCATGGTCGTACGAAGCATATAGATATTGACTTTCATTTTATCCGAGAGAAAGTTCATAGCAAAAATCTTCTAGTTCATTATATTTCTTCTACTGATCAGCTTATTGATGTTTTTACCAAGGGTCTTGCTTCTTCTAGATTTCTTCAACTGTGAGACAAACTTATGGTTGGGTCACCACCCATTAGTTTGAGGGGGAATGATAACCAGAAACTAATCTAACTGATTAACTAATCAGTTGTAACTAATCAATTGATATTTATCATGTTTGCATTCTGTTAGATTCCAGTTGTATTCTCAATAGCTTCTTATAAATACTGAAAGCATACTCTTGTAAACCAGTTAAGGATTTACAATGAAAATTTAGATCTTAATTTCATTTCGTGCTCTATGTGTTTTTCTATCTGTAAAACTCATCAAAATTCATATGGATTCTTGATTTTTAAATTCCTATTATTGATTAAATCATGTTTTCATTTAATATTTGTTCTTGTTCCAAGAAATTATGATTTTTGGCTAAACCCTGGAATTTTGATATTGAGATTGTGAATATTTTCTTGAGATGATCTCTCGCATATTTTAATTCTTTATTACTATAATATATTGAGAATTGTGCACTTGTGATACTTGAATTGTTAATGAAAATTGTGATTGGTTAAGATTGTAGTTGTTGAGAATATTGTGGTTTCATCTCTTGTATGGTTTGTTGTGATGGACTTGAATTGCCTTCGAGAGCTGCCGTAGAGTGTTAGAGATTAATCTATCCCAGTGAAGGTGAGATGATTGTTTAACATTTGTAGTGGATTATAGTTTGTGAGAGCAACCACTATTTGTTCAAGTAAGTTTGAGGCTGAGGGATAATATACATTTTCTAAGAATGATTCGTCAATGTCGTGGGAGACGGTATACGTCCTTCCTAAAGTAGTTTGTGATTTGGGCCTGCGGGAAATGATTGAGATTATGTGGTTGTGGTGGGTGAACGAGGTAAAATTGTTGTCTAGATTCCTAAGAAGCAACCAACATACATGACAATGGGGATGAACTAACATATCTTAGAATATGAAATGATGTTACTGAGATATTTATTGATTGCTTTAATTTCTTGCAAGTTTATTCCTGTCATTAATTTACTGTATTCCGTACACTTGATATCATTACAACTATCATGGTTTTATTCTCAAAATCTATATATGTTATTTTTTCAAAAGAGACTTGCCATCTTTTATTGTTTTAAACTTTGTTGGGATTTGAGAGGGATTTTCTACGGACTTTTGCTCACCTCCTACAACACACTTACAAATTTTGACATAGAAGAGAATGTCAATATGGATGAGCAGATTGATTACGAGCCGTTGGAGGTTCAATATGTGGATCATACCTTAGAGGAATAGAGTTGATCTACTTTTGGTTTAGAGTTTGAGAGATTTTTATGAAACAATGTTTTAGCTTCTTTTTATTATTCTGCTGCTAGATATTCTTGATTTTGAATTGTAAGTTAGAGAAGTTTTAATATTTGTTTGGCTTTAGTATTTATTCCTTGCCAAAGGGATGAATGAATTATTATTTAATGATTATTTTTAGTTGTTCTCATGGTTGGATGATTTGTAAATAATAATGTCTTCTAGGGTGGATTTTGGGGCATTATATTAGGGTTTGAGGAGCTACGTCAGCAAAAGAGCATCAGGGTCATCCAAAAGTCTCATCCTCGCTGCCTTGGAAAGATTCAATCCCCACGTCATCTTTTTCACCAAATCCTATAGAGAGCACCGTAATTGCTTCATCAGTTAAGAAGAGGACGTCAACTCCACCAAATTAGCCACTTATTTACTAATAACTCGCGCAAGTTTATTATGAGACGATTATAAATTATAAGCTTCGCCAACATTTGAGAGACATCATATTCAGTCGAGCATATCTCTCCTATCTCTCTCAGCTTATAACTTGCTTCTCTCGCTACACACTTGAAATAATAAAATACCCGGCGATCCTAACCATTCAAAATGAACATAAATTACGTTGACCGAACCACTATAAATCCTTATTTTTTTTCTCTCTCTATTTATTAACTACTTTAAGTATTAGTCACTTGACAAGTAATTTACAAACTCAATTTGTATATCATCACATATCACGACCATTGACCTTAGTTATTCAAAAACTCGACTTAAAATTTAAAGCTGACTCACGTAATTATGACAACACAACTAAAACCCTAACGATCTGTCTTATTTGCCCAGATTTAGTTGGATTTTCCTTTAATTGGTAACCGTTCACAATGACCAAAGGAGTTCATGATGAACGGTGAAGAATGGAACCAATGAAAGAGACGAACGGTTCATTCATTTACCAATTTATATGTGAATTTATTTATATTAGATTTCCATAATTATTGAAAAAATACATAATGTTTCTTGTAGAATGTTGGCAATTTATGGATGCATTTTTCGATGTTTTATTTTTGGAAACTAAAAAAAAAGTTTGTGATGATAGACTTTTTTTTGACGTATTACTACGTGGCTTCAAAAATTACGAAACGTGAAAAAATAACATGAGATGTATAATGTTACACTGATTTACGACGGGATAATTAAAAGGACCAAATAATGTGATATTGTTATACTGATATTTTTACCTCTATGTTTGCTTATTTAATAATGATTTTTTTGATCTCACATTTATTTATTTAAAATTTGAAATTGTAGTTTTTTCCCACCATAATTTATATATATAAATTAACAGATTACTATTATCCAATGCATTTATAGTAGAGGAGCAAACACCTCAGAATGATTGAGGAGAAGTCCAAAAGGACACAATAAAAATGACTAATCTTAACTTGCACCCTGAAAGATCATTAGAATCTCAATTAAGAGCTATTTGATGAACATTAATAGATGAAATTCTTTTTGGATCATAAATGTGAAATATTTAAAATTTGAGGAATACAATTTATAATTAACTCAACCTTTTTTAGCGGCAAAATAGACAGCAAATAGTCTTAGGTGCACATTGATCTGTATTTTTGTATTTATATTTTTTAGGGTATAAATTAATATTTTTAAATTGTGAGGATATAAATTAAAATTTGAGTAATTTTTCAAAGTGTAAGTTGAAATTAACCCCAATAAAAACCCCCATAGAAAATATGAGAAATCAATCCTTGCCCAAAGTAAGAATTAATTCATTTACCTCTTAATTAAGAGGATCTCAAGATAGCCACATGAGGTAGTCTCAGTGAATTTTTTTGTTTAAATCATACAAATTTTATATTATTTAGTCTATTTTAATATTACTTTAGCTAGTGAAACACTAATATTTTGCTTAAGTAAATGCATTTGTATCAAATACGATCTTCATCAGATATTTGAAAATACATATCAAATACAAATTAAAAAAAATATTTAAAGGTCGAAGAGATTTTTAAATAAATAATAATTTATAATTAAATTTTATTATATCGTCGTATTAATATGATGTATCAGACTCGTAATTGAACTTTAGCAGCATTACCCATTAAAACAACTTCCAAGGAAAGGCTTTAGCAGGCCGAACACCGAACCGGGGCGATGTTCATCCACACACAATCCGACGCCGAAAAAGTTAAAAGCCAAATCGGGTCTAAACCCTTTCCGGGGTGCCCCATTGGCATCCCTACATTAGTAACACTTGCACGCCACGTTTCTCATTCTCTTCAATCCTCTGTATCTCGAAAACCTTCATACTTCTCAAACTCCCGATTCCAGTTTCCTCTAGCACTGCACTCATGGGTTCTGGTAATTCCCTCTCTCTCTCTCGCTCAATATTTTTTTATTTCGGGTTTTGGGACGCTCGATCACTTATCATGAAATCATAGTGAATCCGTTTTACCCAAGTGGATTTCACACTGACAGAGAAATAGAACTGAGAGAATCAAAAGAACTGAGGGATTTTAGTACTGGGTAGATGTTGATTCCAGTCTAATGAACTCGATGTTCTATTGTGCTGGAGGGTTGGCCTTTTTTTGTGCAAGTTTTTTCCCCTTTTAGAATGTTATTGTGAATTGTGTATGCAGATGCGGATATGGAGGACTATGGATTTGAATACTCGGACGAGGAGCCCGAGGAACAGGATGTTGACATTGAGAATCAATATTACAACTCTAAAGGTAATTTATTAATTGATTTGCTTTGAGATTTCCATGGTGTTTGTTACCAGTTAAATAATTTGATGCTGGGACCATTTACTTGGATTTGGGATATAATAATAAGATAGACAAGTGGAAAAGCCACCTTTTTTGGTAATTGAATTCATTGCTTATAACTACTTCATGACATTTGCATAACCAACAACAGACCTTCTTCTGCTAGAAGATGGTGCCGTACTACCTTAGAAGAGGAATATATAGTTAGTTCATGATGTTTTTGGTACATTAGGAATCTGCATTGTGGGTATGCAGTCACCATTCCTGTGAACCAATGAATTGGGAGAAACAAGTTGTTAGTTTCTATATTATCCTCTGAGGGTTAGATCATTAAGCTTCAACTAGAGTTGTGGAGGCTGGGTTTTGTGATAGGATAACTAGTTCTTGGAAGGTGTTTTAAACACATGGAATTGCCAGCCTAGCACCCTTATAGCTGGAATCAGAACAGTTGATTGAAAGAAAGAAGAATGAGAAAATCATCTGAGAATGACACTAGGTTAGTTTCGGGTCACGTTTTGGTTTTATGAGCTACACATATTCACTTCAAGATTAGAAGGCTCAAAAAATTGTCCAGATCTTCTTGATTGTGAAGGAAGCTACAGCTATTTGTCAATTTGTTTTTGGCCCTTATAGGAATAAAATGGGAGAACGGACTCTTTATGTGCTAGCTTTCAAGTAATATATTTAGGTGACCCATTTATCGAATACCAATCTGAAGTGAACAGGCTAGAACAAGGATCAGAATCTGAAGTCATGCAATTCCATATGGCCTTGCTAGCATGGTTATGAATCTCCAAGATAATAAAAATAAGCTTGTGTCACAGTAGAGCTCCCAAGTGGCTCCTCACCAGGAATCACCATATCCCTTGCAATTAGGCAATAGTATGAAACTACCTTTGTGGCCCAGAACTCAAATTTTAGGGATTTTAGTCAATGTCTGGTATTACTAGCAGTCTAGCAAAGACAATGCTTTAAGTACACAAAGATGAATTCTATTCTCGCATGTCAAGCTGCCAAGTAGCCCTTGTTCTAGTCTTATAATAAGTCCATCCTAAATTTTCAAGTAGTCCCTGTGGAAGTCCTATGATGCATTGCTGGATTTCTTTTTATGTTTTGTAGTCTGTTATCAACGGTACAGTAGATGTGAAAGCTTGACTACTAAGGATGATTCTTACATCAGAAAATCTTTTCATATCACGGTTCAACAACCTCCCTTTTCTGCCCCTTTGTTTTTTCTTTTGTATTTGCCGAAGACAGTGCCACCTTTCTAATTGTCAGTAATCAACCACTAATTTATCTTCTTTTATGGTGATACGAAATGTTAATATGAAGCACATAATTTCTTGATAGATGAAAACTAGCTCGTGGTTCCATTATTTTGATGGCTTCCTAGCCTTCCTGGATTTGATAAAATGATATTGCCAACGAGATGCAAACCTAAATCTCTCTCATGCTCATTTAAAAGGCTCAAGTAGATTTAACCTTGCTCCATGAGCAATACTTCCAAGGACATAAACAACCAAATACAAAAAGAATGGTGATATCTTGATTCCACACTTGCTATAAGCAAGAAGTTGGAATATAACGCTGTATTGCTTGCTATGTCCTTGACTAAGGGAAATAGTATCTTGGGAAAATTCTTATAATCTTCTGTTGGGGAAGTCAACAACTTTATTAGGCTGGGATTCTTTTTCAACCAAGGTTATATAAATGGATTTTTTGCATGGTCAGTTGTATCACAGTGATGGAAACTCTTCCTAGCTTTTGATGCTTTGTTTATGATCATGCCAACTCCTTAAGAAGATGATATTTTGAAGTTTCTCTCTTCTTTGTAGTTGAATCCTTTTTCAAAATTTAAAATCAGGGTTTAACAGCAGCTTTGTAAAGTTAGCAACTTTAGAATTCTGTTGTTCATTTGAATCATTGACATCACGGTATAGCACCCAATAACGGTTGTAAAAGGTGTATGAGATTGGGTGACCTAACATTTCTTCCTTAGTTTTCATTTATATTTTGGATTTTTAGATCAGGTTGGTTACATATGACCGTATACAGCTCTATGACGAGAAGCCAAGGCCTCATTTGGTTCTTTTAACTTATGATATATATACGGTAGGCTACCTTTTGATTTTGCATCCACATGTCAAACAGGATTGAGTTATTGCATGATTCAGAGTATCCAATCATGTTGTTTGGTTGTGAGCTGAGGACCCCATCTTATATGCTGTACTGAAGTTGGTGGTGACAGTATTTATGGGAATCAATACTTGATGTTAGTGAATAGGTGGATATATGCAAAACGAACACATAGAATACGCTGCAAAAGATGCTTGGAAAACACACATTGAGGCTCTGGGATGGGTAAAATGAAAATATACTACATACAATATTTGCAAAAGTTCACTAATTTTTCATTGGTCTTTCACTATAGGGAATAATATGAGGATATCAAATTCCTGATAAACAGCGATACAATATTCTCCCTTTCTCTTGGTGTTGCAAATTACTTATTTCACACTGGTGTTTAATTTTTAAACTGATTTGCAAGTATATTTTTGACTAGGCTTGGTTGAAACTGACCCTGAAGGAGCTCTTGCTGGTTTTTCTGAAGTAGTTCGCATGGAACCTGAAAAGGCTGAGTGGTGAGCAAAATAAGAATTATAATTTCATTTTTTTCCGTACTTCTAAAGGTCTAGACAGTTCGTACTCATTGAACTGAAAGCGGTAACATTTATTCGAGTAACTAAAAACAATTGAATTTCAATAAGAGTTGCAGTTTAAGCATTCTTTTGCCACTGAATTTCTGTTTTGTTGCTTGCATTGGAGCTTGCTTATGTCTTTTGTGTGTCTAAGAAGAGATACTTTGTTCATCATCGTGGTGATGCCAGTCAAAAAGAAAGAAAAAGAATACGCACTCACATTCATACGTAAGCAGTACAGATATGGACTCAGGTGTCGAATCTGATATGGTATTGACATAGGGATACGTCAAAGTTTTAAAATATTGGACACGGGTATAACAAATATACGACTAATTAAAATAATATTATATATTTTTTATAAATAAAATAATTAATAATACGACCTAATAAACATTGAGGAGTTGTTTAATATTTTATAATTGGATAATGGTCTAATATCAAATTAGGCAGTGGGCTAATATGTTATAATTGGACGGGCTAATATCAAATTGGACAATGAGTTAATATATTTGACAACTAATAAATAGATTATACCAAAAAAGAAGAAAACTATGTTTTTTTTAAAAAGTTGAAATTTAATGTGTATTCAAATAGAAAGAGCGAGGGAGAGAACAGGAAAAAAAACAAAAAGCTAAAGCGTGAGAGAGAGAATAAGAAAAAAATAAAAGAGTTAGGGGGTTTTAGACCCTCTATTTGGTGAATTAGGGCAAGTCGACGATGCCAACGATCAATGTCCTACAAATTGTACAAAGAGAAAGGAGTTCAAACCTTTTACGTGTTGAATCAAAAGGATGAGGGGAGAAGAAGAAAAAAACAGGAAGAGGAAGAGTTTTCAAGAAGGCATACCTGACTGACTGTTTGGTAAATAGGGATCGAAGAAGAGATCAACTGGTTGGGTACTGTATCCCTTTGGTATACGAATTTTTTTGCCTATTCAGAACACTTGTTGAAGTGTCGGACACGTGTCAGGCCATGTCCCACGGGCTGGAGTATCCGTGCTTCCTAGATTCATACAAATGTACTGGTGAAGACCCTATATGATGTGCGGGGTTGTAAAAAATAATAAAACAGGAAATAAAGTACTTTTGTTGAACACTTTGTTAAATTTGGAACTTCATTTTTTTGGAATTTATTATAAGTTCAAAATTGGAACATACTAAAATTAAAAATAGTTTTTTTTATATAGAAAACAAAACTTTTAGTAAATAATCTATACTACTAATAAAAGTACCTTAACATGAAAATTTTTTGAATATTTATTTATTCTTATAAATAATTACAAAGATCACTTTATCATTTCACAATTAAATATTTAAATTATCATCATATATTTATGTATTTAAATATCCAATTATCTCTTTTAATTATCTATTTTTTATGCATAAATATTAATTTTTATAAAACTTTTTGATTAAATATATTGATCTTTTAAAATATGCATCATTATATTTTCAATAAAATGTTCAAAAAACCTTCAAAAATTTCATTAATCTAATAATACTCATCTCACATGCAAAGATAACATTATGCCTACATATGTGTATTTTTATTTCATTAAAAAGTTTTAACCCTTTCATTTTTAAGATAAAAAGTAATCATATATATAGTTTTGTGAAATTAATTCATATTACATCAGTATAATTATTCAGTTACAGTAAACTTTTTAAGTTGTATTAAGATTTTTTGTAAAAATAGATATTGTAGTATATTTTTAAGTAAAACTTGAATTTTTTAGAATTTTAATATTGTAGAATTTGAATTTTTTTTAGAATTTTTAAGTAAAACTAGAAAGTTTTAGATTTTTTAGAGTAGTATATTAAATTTTATCCCAATTCACTTATTCAATTCCTAATTATAGTAATGTTCTAACATGATTAGTGTGTTGACAATTATTTTTATTTTATTCAAGAAATTATAAGTGAAATCATAACAAAATGAATTTTAAAAAATTTAATTTTTCAATTATCACTAAAAAAATGATCTCAAGCACAAAATTCTAAAAAAATAGAATTTTAACTATTTCTTTTTTAAATCTTTTTTCTTATAGTTAGAATAAAGAATTTTGAGAACATGTAAAGTTTTTATAATATTATAATAGATTATGAGTAATGAAAAATTAAGTTTGATAAATTTGAGATGATATTTAATTCAGATACATATATACTTAATATATTTTATTAATTTTTGTATACGAAAATTATTTATGTGTAACGCACGTGGTGCATTGATAGTAATAAGAAAATGTACAAAGTAGGGAGCAAGAAGTCCACCCTAGGAGAAAAATAGAAGAGGAAAATGCATAGGAAATCATTACATCCCTATAGATTAAAAAAAAAATGGTCCTCTAGCTACAAACTGCAATCCAATCAAGTGTAATGAAAAACAATGGGGTATCCTTCGCGGTTTAAAAATACACATGAAAACAACATTTAACTTTTCTGGCTTTAATTTTCAAACATGAAAAAGAGGACTCCAATAATGGTCGGAATACATAAGGTATACTGTATTGGGATTATGTTTGTAAACAAAAGATCCCTTAACGATGTGTAAGTTATGTCTTATATGTGTATATCTTGGTTGGACCAAATGCGATGCACTTTTGTTCCCTTGGGTCATCAGGTATCTTTTCCTCCCTCTCGCTTTCCCACATACATGCAATCTCATTCGGTCATTCCTTTATGTAAAACCTCTCTCTCTCTCTCTCTCTCTCTCTTTCTCTCTCTTCCCCCCTCTCATAGATAATTTGTCTTTTTGAAGTTATAGATTTCTTTGGTCTAGAGACAGATATAGGGATGAAGAAACTGCTCTATCTTCCCATTTTTTTTGATAATAAACTAAATTTTATAGATGACGAGAGAATGACAGAAACTTGCACACACAATAGTGGACAAGTACCCAACCACTATGTTTATCAAAGAGATGAACAAACGGAATGAGATTCATGGGAAACCATCTATAAAATATTCACTATTCTCTAATCCGCAGCAATACAGGACAAGGGAATATGCACAAATTTCTTAGAAAGCAAAGCTCAAAAAGATGTCCACAAGTAAATCATATGCCGCAGTCCCCTCTCAGTTTCCACCCTTCCAAATAAAATCCTTGCATTTTTCTCCGACCAAATAAGCCAAACAATTGCAAAAATTGCACACCTCCACAGTATTTCTTTAACTTACCAAAGCTATCAAAATCAACCACAAACATAGAACAGATTGACTGAGGAGAATACCAGCTCAGACCAATCAGATTCATTAATTTCTGCCACAAGGACTATACATGGAAGCAATATACAAAGATCAACAGTCTCATAATCACATGTGCACACAGCATACCCGTGTGGAGAAAAATAAGATTTTGGTCTTCTCCTTTAAAGCAAGTTATTAGTGTTGATCTGAACATTGGCAATTGTCCATCCATAAACTTTTATTTTACATGTCTTCACTTGCTTCGCTTTCCGCTAATGTTTATTGAGCACTTGAGCTTCTATGAAGAAACAAGAAGGAGAGGCCTTGATGCTCGTGTGTGCTCTCTCTGGTCCTCACATCTATATTCGTGTGACTTTTCATTTCCTTTTATGTTCATCACTTCAATTGTTCAAACATCCACTCCTTTCTCTTTCTCAATTTAGATCTATGTTAACCAGGGAATCAGTCTTTTTCACCCTCATTGAGAACATGACATCTATTCTTCTCTGTGCTTACCTTCTGTCTTTCCAACCATAACATGCCCTTTCAGTTCTACATCTTCAAATCCTTCAACAGCATCACCTCCACAAATTAGGGTTTGTGCAAGTTTCAAAATTTCCCACTCTCTGGCTCTCTGTCCTCAAATCTCATTCTCTCTTGTTCTGTAGAGGAAGTCCATATATTGTTCCCCTGCAGAAAATATCAAATTATCTCCCTGCCATAATCCTATCTAACATTCTCTCAAGGCTACCCGTTGAAGGCCTCCTTAAATTCAGGTGATCAACATTTTCACTCTAACTTATGTATGCCTGTACTTGCGTGTATATGTTTTATGTGCATACAAGCCTTCATTTTTTTGTTTCACGTTGATGTGGTAGCAACAATCAGGCTTTTGGGCTTTGGAGACAATATGAAGACACATAGGAAGGCAATGAGATGGCAGGCACCATGGGACTAATTAGGTGCTGTTTTGACAACTATGACTGCCTTCAAATGATGCAGAGGCATCCTTCGGCAGCCAATCACAGCATTTGGACAATGAACTTTGGCTGCTACCATCAAGGATTGTTAGGAAGTCAATGCCGTTCGTACGTGAATAGAACCCCAATTGGTTGTGGTCTCAATGGGTGGTAGCATTGCTTTGTTTTATGTTGTGTCTCTGCACTTTTCGGTGCTCGAGTCTAATAGAGTGAAAATCAAGCAGAGTTGTTTGTTGTAAAAGGGGTCTACCATCAGTATGTCCTGATATAAATGCAGGCATGCAAACAAACTTTTGAGAGAATGAATCAGAAGAGAACCTAGAATATGGACAATAAAAAAAGAAAAATGCGGACAAATGGGTAAATTAAATAAAGCTGGAGAAGAAACTTACACCACTGTTTTTTATTATAGGTATTAGGTTTCTATATACTTAGCGATGTTTTAAAATGGATAACGTAGATTAGCATCATGCTATTGTACCTGCCTACTATATGTATTAGGATCCTATACTTGCCACTGCGTCTTATCTAGACCGCTGGCAGCCTTAGCTAGAGCCACTAGAACATTGGGTGGCATTCATATTCTATGTTACATTTTGTAATTCTTAGAATCATTCTTTGTTGTGCAAGTCAATTTTACCCACTGAGGATTCTTGCTGACTTCGTATGTCATCAAAATAAGTGCCCACATAGCATAAACACACTCAACAATTATTAGCATGACCTATTTCATGTGATGGCACCCTAGGAAGATGCCATCTGACCTGACATCCAAAGAGGTGTGTCATCCCATTTTCATTTTAGCAAAGCCTCACTACTAATGTTAGACCTAATTAGATCACTTAGAATGAATTTATTTTATTTTGATTAGGTATATTCAACCAGGCGGATCGGACATTTTCTAAAACAAGGAGTTTATACTTGCACAGATTCGATTATTGGAACCACCCAATGGATTATTGCTACCATCTAAAATTCGTAATTAGCATGCATATTTACATCTATGTGCTGCACAAGCCTTAATGCAGATCCACTCCAGGAAGCAGACAATTGACGCTCTTTACCATCCAGAATAGCATAATTACACCTGCATGTGTCCATGAGAGCCAATATATCGTAAATTTGTATCATGACTTACTTTTACTATGGATTGTCTTTTTGCGATACGCTTGCGGTACTCTTACATATCTTTTTAGTCTGAGTACATATTTGAGCCCTTTTTAGTGTAACTGAATAATTATTTCTTCTGCTTGTATTCAGGGGATTCAAAGCTTTAAAGCAAACTGTCAAGCTCTATTATAAGTTAGGGAAGTATAAGGAAATGATGGATTCTTATAGGGAGATGCTAACATATATCAAATCCGCAGTCACGCGAAATTACAGTGAAAAATGCATAAACAATATTATGGATTTTGTTTCTGGATCAGCTAGTCAGAATTTTGGTCTGTTGCAAGAGTTCTATCAGACCACCTTGAAGGCCCTTGAAGAGGCAAAGAATGAGGTCAGCTGTTAATTTCATCATGAACTTGTTCTTTTCAGACCTATTTGATCTTGAACTCTATGAGCTTTAATGGCAAAGTCGTCATAGTGCCCTCTTTACTGCACAGAGGCTCTGGTTCAAGACAAATCTAAAGCTTTGCAAGATTTGGTTTGATATGGGTGAATATGGCCGGATGAGTAAGGTATATTGTTTGGTTGGCTAATAGTTTTTGTTATCTTACTACTCTGTATTGCGTGATGCAAATTGTGTTGGTGTACGTAATTAGATTTTGAAGGAACTCCACAAATCTTGCCAAAAAGAAGATGGTTCAGATGACCAGAAGAAAGGAACACAACTGTTGGAGGTGTATGCTATTGAGATTCAAATGTACACTGAAACTAAGAATAACAAAAAGTTAAAGGTACAGCAGCATTTAGTTTTGATTGCCTTTTTTTTTCCCTGAAGTAATATATGATTTGAGTGTGTTTGTGTTTTCCTTGCTGAGAACAGATGGCTATCTTGTCAGTTTTACATTAGGCTTCACTATGTCTAATGAACAGCATGACAAGTCAGTACCGAGCTTGTTTCATGGATGTTTTAGCATTATTCCTTCGTCATTCTTCCTATTGGGCATTGCAACATGGAAGCATGTTTCTATCTCACTCAGCGTCTGCATTGTCATATTTTAATTTCCTCACATTTTAGGGATCTTGCCTCACATCCCGGATGATGTTGTCAAAGGCTTCCTGATTTTGAAGTGATACGCTTTTTAGGTTGTTTATTTTCTAATTAAGCCTGTCTACTCATTCAAGATGTGGGTTAACTGCAGCTATTATACCAAAGAGCTCTGTCAATCAAGTCAGCAATACCCCATCCAAGAATCATGGGGATAATTCGTGAGTGCGGTGGGAAAATGCATATGGCAGAACGCCAGTGGGCAGAGGCAGCTACAGATTTCTTTGAAGCTTTTAAGAATTATGATGAAGCTGGGAACCAGCGGCGTATCCAGTGCCTAAAGTATGTTCGGAGGCTCTCTCTCCCTCTGTGTGTTTGTAATTGTGTGTGCATGCACTTGCGCTAATGTGTATGTATGGTTTTGTGTGTGTTTTCACTTTGATTTTCCTATCTTTTAAAATAGGTTTTTTAGTCCATGTACACACTTCTATTTGCCCACTAGCAGGTCTCCATCTTCATTTGCCCCTCTTATTGACAGGTATTTGGTTCTGGCTAATATGCTGATGGAATCTGAAGTTAACCCATTTGATGGCCAGGAGGCAAAGCCGTGAGTGCTTTAGAGATTTGGCAGCAATTGTGTATTGTCTGCTCTTTTGTGGATATGGTGTCTGACACCTCTTTTTCTTTTTCTCTGTTCTGGTCGTTACTTTGTAGATATAAAAATGACCCTGAGGTATTGGCAATGACAAACCTAATAGCAGCATATCAACGCAATGAGATATTGGAGTTTGAGAAAATTCTGAAGGTATGTTTATTGTTCTACGGTTATTTTTTTGTTTTTTCATATGTGGTAAACAATTTTATCTTTTCTACCCACACTTTTCCCTTGCTTGTTGGAATTTAAGTTGGTGTTTGAAATTTTTTCAGAGCAATAGAAGGACAATAATGGATGATCCATTTATTCGAAATTACATTGAAGATCTTTTGAAGAATGTCAGAACCCAAGTGTTGCTGAAGCTCATCAAGCCTTACACAAGAATAAGGATTCCCTTTATCTCAAAGGTATTGTCACCACCAAAACCCGTGGTTGTTGAACAATGTTGTCAATTCCATTACAATTTTGTCATTAGATTTCCTATCAGCTTAATGTACTTGTTCTACACACAGGAACTAAACGTGCCAGAGAAAGACGTTGAGGAGTTGTTGGTTTCACTTATCTTGGATAACCGTATCCATGGGCATATTGATCAAGTGAACCGCCTGTTGGAGCGTGGTGACAGGTGCTTTTTGTAGTCTTTATGTACCTTTCTGCTTGATAAAGACCATTTATTGCTGCCTGACTTTTAGCTTCTCGTTTGTTGTCATTATACATTTGCAATGCAATTTCATGTCATACAGGTCAAAGGGAATGAAAAAGTACACTGCCATAGAGAAGTGGAATACACAGCTTAGGTCTCTTTATCAAACTGTCAGCAATCGAGTATGCTGATTTTGGTTTCATATAGAAATGGTTGTATCATTTTCTGCAAAAAGAGCTGGGACTTGGTTGCTGACTCAACATTGAATATCTCACATTCCAGTCTAAACTGCACCAAGTAAGCTATGAATACAAACGGTTTGGAACTACTTTTTTTAATGTATTTAGGTGAAGTTGGATGCTACTCTGAAAGCAATTGTATGAAGTTCTTGGTGCTGTGTTTATGGTTGCTTTTGCGTCTTTTCTCAATGTAAGGTTTTTGATAGCGAGGAACCTAATATTATATGGGTTGAGTAAAGCGGATTTCCTCCAATGGCACCCACTCTTGGATTTCCTTTGGTACTTCCATCAATATTGAAGTTTGAGGAAGCCCCTCAAGTGGTATTACCTCCTAGTTGAAAGGCTTTATAATGAGAGCAGCGGCGCAGCCGAGGAGAAGAGAATTTTGACCCTTAATTTTTTTTTGGGTACGGGATTTGGGTCACCCTTAATTTGAGTTTAGAATTAGGTTTTTCTTAATTTAATATGTGTACGAGTTTAGCATTAGAGAAGGATTTTGGAACATTTTTAACGGAATTTAAATTTGGGTCTAAAAACGAGTTTAGACTGGAGTTACTTTTAAGTTTCAAGTACACAATCTTAATTTTTTGGGGTTGAAATTTAAATTTGCCTTTATTTATGGCCTTGAAATCAAGCCAAATAGTGGTGTTTTTCTTTCTCCCATCCATGTCAGCCATTAAGTTATGTTGTGTTTCTGATGAGATGAGCTGATAATGCCTCTGCAATTTTTTGTTGTATTTATGAAGATAGACTTAGTTTCTGGTCCTGTGGGGTGTATTGCATCTTGCTCTCGTCTTCATTAAACTATTGGGCTCCTCCTTCTTCCACCTCCTGCTGGTCCCAATTACAGCCTAATAGACAGAGACCTTTTGGGTAGACCCCATTATGGGGAGCCAGGGGAAGGAGGGGTGCAACTTGGGGTTGAAATCAAGCCCCCCCCCCCCCCCCCCCCCCCCCTCTTTTTCTTTCCTCCTTCCTTGACAGGTCATTTTCATCCCAGGTCGGATTGTTCCCTATTATAATGCTACCTTGGTGAATTATTTATCATTCTTTCAATCAGCATCTCTCTCTCTCTCTCTCTGTAACCTCTGAGCTTATAGAGTTTGGATTTACTTTTGAAAGGTTCAATAGTAAATGAATAGAATATCGACACGAGTTCAATTAAATACGATGCAAAATGCTAAACAAGACGTCAAAACGAGTTATCCTCTGACCATTATAAACATTATTCAAAACGGATAATTTTTGTTGACAATGTGTATGCCGGTAGAAATTACAAACATAATTTCAAGCAACGGTTAAGAAATGACACCTCACTCTAAACATTATCTTCTATATAACGTGGCAAATTATCTTTCCTTTTTCCCTTCTCAGTGTATTTTCTTGTCACAAATGAATTAACCTTATGAAAAAATATTCAATATAACAGTTATACTACATTAATATTAATATAATAGATACTCCATTGAAAAAAGTGAGATTTATTTGTCTATTTTTTTAAAAAATTTTATTAAAGTGATATCACATAACATTATTAGTGTAATGTAACCGTTAGATTGAATAATTACTCCAAACTTACTCGCACCTCTATTTCGTTTCCACATATATTGCATGAGAGAGAGAGAGAGAGAGAGAGAGAGAGAGAGAGAGAGAGAGAGAGAGAGAGAGAGAGAGAGAGCCATGGTGGTTTGATTTTACACCCACCAAAGGGTATAATGGTCATAAATATATATTCAGAATAGGCTAGTCATGTAAGTTTCAATTGTCAATTTTGACTCCTTTCTTAACAAAGGGCTAAGTGGTATCGAATAATAATTAAAGGAGTAGGACCTATCTAATTTAATTAGTCATATTGTTATATCGTAAAAGATTTAGAAAAGATTCCGTCCGTTACACTAATTTGACATGACAGGTAGTTTTTACTCGTCAAATAAATGAGTTAACATTAACTCGATTAAATATGATACGAACTTATTAAATATTAATTTTATATATTTTATACATGATATAGACTCGAGTGTACACAATTATAAATAGATAGAATATAAATTTAGTAGATTTTAACGCAATATAACGTCACCCTTTGAACAAAATCAACCACTTTTCGGTCTACTTTAGTCCGGATCAAATTTCTTATTTATCATATTTAATCACAAAAGCAAAGTAAAAATTGTAGACTTAATTCTTTTTTTTGCTGATTAAAAAAAAGGTGGGGTCCGTGGAGGCAAAGAAAAACGCTCACAGACCACTCTGATAGATCTTCATTGGTAGGATTATGAAGCTTCTAACTGCGTCTGTTCCTCTTCTTAGAAACAAAACTTAGGTAAACTAGCATAGTGGTCAACTACAAAGCATCAATGTGAACTTTAGAACTCGAACCTCCAACCCCAAGTTGATAAGTTCAGTTGATACCCCCACCCGGTGATTATAAACTATAGTTCAAGCAAACCCTCCTCAAATCCAAAGATCAATTCATCGATAATAATGGATATGAGCATATAGAAGTGAGATTCCTCTAACATTTTTTTAAATTTTTTTATAAATTTTTAATTATAAAGTCAAAAAAAATTCATTATCTTTAATATAAAATATGACAGATTTCAATAAATTCATTTAACAGTCTAAAATAAACTCATATAATAGCCATTAACATCCTTCTAAAAACTATTCACATTAAATTTTTCCTCCCTAAATTTATAACTTCTTACTTATGTTGTATCGTGTCTTCAGGTACTTTTAGTTATATGACCCCCCCCCAAAAAAAAAAAACAGGTACTTCTAGTTATAAATAAATCTGGTAAAACAATCTAATAAAGTCAAAAATGAGATTAAAAAATACCGGAGATAATTTGGTTTCGAGGGTGTAGATCCCAAGATGTTCATGTGCTTTGCTGGGTTTTCTTTTTCATTTTTTTTTATCAGGAAAATGGGGAGAGGAACGAGCAGTAGGTAGTGATCCCCTGGGCGTGACCATGAGGGTCTCTCTTGATATGGAATGTTCGATTAACCACAATTACAAACTCTTTTGGAGTAGTCCATCGTCACACCACGACCAAAACACTAACGAGTAAGGATGGTGACCCCGTGGATGTATCGCTGTTTACTTCTTCATGTTTAGATTGATAGATGTACTAAAAGATCTCTTGAAGCTTGTGATAAGAATCAGGATGAGATGAAAAACAGATTTTAACCAAAAAAAATAATTTTTCATTACTATACTTCCATTTTTCATCCATGAAGACTTGATACGTGTAAATTTATTTTTATTTGTTATTACTCTATTATGAATCATTCAAACTAAAATCAAAACTTCTAGATGAATATTGGTACTATACTGAAATCATGAACAATCTCGAAAACGAAATAATTGTTGTCCACTTTTAGGGAAAAATTAAATTTCCCTCACATCTGGCTAGAATTCGAAAGTGAAATTTACTTTCCGGTACTTTTCATCATTTTCTTTTGAAATAAGATTACAAAAAGTTTTTTTTTTAAATTGTTTTTATCACTTTCATGCTAAACAAATACACTCTTGGATATAAATTTGTAATTTTTTAAGTAAATTTATTACACAAAAATAATTTCATAAAGAATAAAAATATATTTAACTTCTATTTTTTCAATTGCAATAGAAATCATTTGATTATATAAATAAGGTAGCATATATGTGTTATTAGTAGGGTGCAACTCGGGCAGGTTGAACAATCAATCCTAAGTATATAATTTTCAAACCTAACTCTAACCCTAACCCTACCTCAGGTTAGGAAACTCAACTCGAGCACTACCCGAGTTTAATTCGGGCGGGCTCCGGTTGATGATTTCGGGTTACTTTACGGGTTCAATTTGAGTAGAGCCCAAAATAGGCTTATTGTTTTAAACATAATACATATATTACATAAGATTCACTTAAATTAACAACTAATAATTTCAACCAAATTTTTAACGAGAGAGGGAAAGAGAACGAGAGAGACAAAAAACAATAGAATAAAAATAAAAAATTAGTGCTAATGCTCTTTATATATATATAATTTTTTTTTAAAAAAATTTCGGGTTCGGGTTGAACTCGAGTTCACGAGACCTTAACCCGAGTCCAACCCAAATTGAATTCGAGTTTGAATTTTTTGATCCACGTATTAAAAATCCTTACCCAAACCCTAATTTTTTCGAGTTGGGCTTGGGTTGAAATCGGGTTACCCAACCCAAGTTGCACCCCTAGTTATTAGGATTAGAGACAGAGATTGTATTTTTTTTTCCTATTTTGCTAAAGAAAAAAAGGGAAAAGACAATCAGTAGATAATAAACTCTTGAGTGTGACCATGAGGATTCTTCCACGATAGAATATTCAATTTAAACTATAACTACTAATCTATCGAATCCTACAAAAGTAAAAGACGATTTTAAATGGGTATGATTTATCACTAAATCATCACTCGAGTAGTCAGAACGAGAGAGCATGCCCCGCAAAGAAAACGTCAAAAAAAAGTAAAAGTACAAAAATAAATGGCACTTATAAAAACACTTACAAAAAAATAAAAATTAACAATATTTTGAAAAAAAAACCGTTATTAACAGCATTTTTTGATTTTGTTGTCCATTCTAACAATATTTGATTTTGTTATGCGCCATACCCCTATGCCCCCCCCCCCCCCCCCCGCTCCCCAGGGGGGCCCTTCTCTCTGTGTCCCCACACACTGCATAAAACACGTGGACAAGATCCCCTCACACAGAAGTTTCTGGCAATAATTGTCATAATAAAAACCAATCTCCATATAAAAAATGAAAATAATTCATTGCAAATTCAGTTGACTGGAAACTCGGTACGTGGCTGTCGGAGGAGAGGCAAAAAGTTTTCATTAATTACGCTGGCACCCACTTAAAATTTGGTAAACTAACATAAAGACCTTACCACATTTAAGAGAATTAGCATTAATCCTATGCACAAACACACTCTA